GTTCATCATACCAGATTATGTGCTCTCTCCCAGAAACTGTTACTAAGGCCTATTTAGCATAGATGCAGTATAAAGCCCACGTTGGCTTTGCGGCTGTTGAAGAAGCACTAACGTGCCCGAGCAGGCGTCTGCGACAGACGGGTATTTTCGAAAAAGAGGCACTGGCTCTTACTATACGGAAAGTATCCAGCCATTTGAATCGCTAAGGCTTTCGAGGATTATGAGTTCAATCCCTGCATCGGGTAGTACAAATTTAGACTCAGTGGAAAACGGGGTGAGCAATAACTGTGTAGTACTACATAAGAACTAACCGAGATATATTCGTAAGTAAAGGGTTCAGTTCGAAATTCCCTGAAGGTTACCCGGATCGACAAACATCTGATGAAGGCCAGATGGTACAGCGACCGAAACGTTGTAATAATAACAACAACAAAGATAAGGACATTAGTTCGCCTGTAAATAAAATAAATTATAACAACTTCTAATCCCAGAAATTATTGGTACTTGGACTATTATCTTTATTTTTGTTATAATTACAACGTTTCAACCAATGTACCCTCTGGCCTTCATCAGGTACTTGTTGATCCGGGTAACCTTTAGGGAATTTCGCACTGAGCCCATTATTATACATTTTGTGTTTTCATTCTTCTAATCTTTCCACTGAATCTACACTACCAAGCCTAGAGATTGAACTCATAATTACTATATCCCCAAATTCAAGGACTCACACTATACCATTTTTCTGTGGGACAATCCTGAGTGTAGAACGTTGGAAGCTAACATATAATCTGCCTGTTCAAACGACATGTCCCTAAACATGGAGAGCGGGACGAGAACAATCTAACTTCGTAGATTAAATAAAGGGTTCAATTTGAATTTCCTTGAAGGTTACTCGGTTTTAAAAGCACCTGAAAAAGGCCGGAGAGCACAATGGCCGAAAGGTTGTGATAATAACAACAAAGATGAAGATAACAATTCGAGTGTAAATAATGTAAATGATGATAACTCCTAACTTACAGAGAAACTTTCTTTATCTCTGTTTTTTTTTTGTTGTGTCAATTTACCACATTGTAGAATAGATTAAAGGTACGGCTATATCATTGTAGAATAGATTAAAGTATATCACGTAGATCACCGAAGTTAATCAGAGTCAAACATAGTCAGCACCTAGATGGGTGACCAATAGGAAATACAAGGTGTTGTAAGCGTGGATGTGCGATGCGTAGGTGGCGTAATGGATGGTGGCTTGGAATAAAACATCGGAGAGGCGAGTTCAAATTCCATTCGGTTTCGTCGCATTCAATTACACGCAAATACGCTTGGGCGATCTGCAATCGGAAAAGAAAAAGGATCGCCGATGCGTGTCCCATCCGGTAAATGGGTAGTGTCCCGTTCCTCCCAACAAAAGACCTTCACAGGCGAAGAAGAAGAAGAAATTAAGGATATTTACTGCTTTTTTGTTATAACGATCGAATGCATAAAATTGAGATCTTTTTTTATTCTAAATGTTCGTTCTCTAATACTGGGCGTTACTGTATAAGTAATTTTGTTCTTAACATTAAGATGTAACTAAAGAATGTACACCCAAGTGAAACGAAGAAAAATACTTCAAACATTACAATATACCGTGTTTGACGGCATATAAGGCGCACTTTTTTTTTTTACAAAAAATATCTTAAAATTCCCCTGCGTCTTATATGCCGTATGTAGGTTTACTAATTTTACTAATTACTAATTTTTTTTTTATTTGCCTTAAGGAAATTGGTGTGCGTCTTATACACATGTGCGTCTTATATGCTGTCAAATACGGTAAATATGTCATATAGGAATAAAGTGTCGCTGCCGACATTTGGGTTTGAACGCGGATCGCCAGAGAGCAAGCACAGTCGACCTCATCTTGAAATAATTAGATCACGTGACGGTTAAAGGAATATATATATATATGTGTGTGTGTGTGTGTGTGTGTGTGTGTGTGTGAGAGAGAATTAGCGGCGTCTGACCGTGTATTGTTCCAAAGTGTTACTATTATTGTATTTGTGATTTACAGTCTCTCCTACAATCGGCATTATAAAAAATAACTATACAAAAAACAAACCAGGTAGGACATTTTAGCTAACTTCATTTTCATTAGGCAGCTTCAGCCACAATCTAATTAGAATAATTAATTACTGTAATTAATATTCTCTTAGAATTTGATTGTTATATTCCTCTCTCCTTCCGCCAACAAATAACAAAAGAAAATGGTAGCAAAAGCAAGGACACATGGCCCAGTGGATAAAGATCCAAAGACTAGACAAAGAGTTGCAAGTTCACGGTAGCGGTGAAAGAAAAACTTGGAGTGTTGAGTTAAAATAAGACATCCGGAAGAGGCATGGCACACAGAACTAGAACCATATACCCCAGTGGACGAAATAAAGGGTTCGTTTCGAAATTCCAGTCACCTGAAGAAGACCTGAGTGCACAACGGCGGAAACGTGAATATGGAAATGAAGATGAGGATAACAGTCTGAATAATTTAAATAATGCAATTAATCATAATACCTCATCTCAGAGATATAGACAGATAACAAAAGCATTATTGACGAAATAAAATGAGAAATTTTTTTCTTCAACTTAGACGAACCTTTCTGAATTGGTTTGTTTGAAGGATTTGAATGGAAACGCTTTACCAGTAGCCAGTCATGAGTTTGTGAAAAATCTGAAAAAATCAAGTAGTATAATGATCTCTTAAAAATATTAAGATAAATTTAAAAACTTAAGATAGTTGATAATCCCAGTGAAAAATTGAAATACAGGAGACTCTGTTGAAAATTAAATTTTAACCTAACCTTGTCCTGTAGTCATGTGATTATATTTAAATTTACGCATATATAAGGTGCGACAGAATTACCCCCCCCCCCACACACACACATTTTAATGATTGACAAATAGAACAAGGTATCTGCTTTAAAAAAACCATCTATTTCACTGTTGTTTAAACAAAGTGTTATATCTCGTACAAGATATAATAAACAAAGTAAACCCGAGTGTGGTTTTCAATAATAATTTTATAATCGGATGTAGATATGTCAAAATACAGAGACAGAGTCAGGAGTAAGCTAACCGCAATGGTGTTAGTAAACGAAGACCTTTTTTCTACTCTTGACTGCGGTCGTACTTTATCGGCAACCAGTCCGTCCATTATCGTGAATGGGGAAGTTGGGTTATCTCATCAAAACACAAAGGGTTACAGTTTTTATTCATTTTGTTTTTAAAATGACATCCTCCAAATAGTGACCTCTCTTCGCCATCGACTGTTGTAGACGATTTCTAAAGTTTTCTAACACCGGAGAGTTCGAGCGCTTCCAGATCTTCCAGGTGGCTTTTCTTTTAAACGCTTAACCTGTGGCCCTGAAATGTTTAACTCATAGCTTTATTAATTTTCTATCCGGAACAGCCTCATTCCAGCGTAACATGAAATCGAAAACCTCTGTGTTGCAATTACAGATTCACCAATCTTTAAAAAAAAAACAAAACGTTTCAACAGAAAACACACGGTACGCATCAGTCCAAGCCATAATGGTAACTGATGGTATCTGAAAAAATGGTATGACATTACCTACATGAAGACACCATTGCCACTTACCTAAGTTCATATTTCAGCTTTAAATAACTGATAATGGGTAAGCTGTAAAAAACAATCAATTAATCAATTGTTTTTAATCAAGACACCCTTCGAATGTCTGTAAATAAATAGGAAACATTCTTGTAAAATTCAGCTTTTATATATAAATTTCAAATTTTTTCCTTGCAACCCTAAGCAAATTTTGTCCCTTTTCCAAGCCTCTCCATGCCCGTCCCGTCATTCATTCACACGAACTCATCAGGTCTGCTGACTTGTCCGTTTTTTCTTCGATATGTCCTGTGAGTATCAAATTCTCCAAATCTTCTTTCCTCGTTATGTGTCTAAGAAGTTTCAGCTGCCTGTAATGTCCTTACGGCTTCATCAAGGATACGAATGAATAAAGTAACAATTAAAATTCATTCTTATCAGCAATTCTGCACATTTAATGTTTTCTAATCTATGCAAAACAGCATAAATACTTTTCCCAAATGTGCCATGTAAGTATGGCCGTTTGTGTGTGTAGGACATTAACCCATAAACGTTGGGCCTCATTAATTGGTGTTTCATTGGAGATCAGCGAATGTCATCAGTTGATGTTTGAAACTTTTTTTTAATGAAACGAGCATTATTCATTCATGACTAGAGTCTAAATGACTAATTGACAATTTTAGGATTTTTTAGGTTAAACAACAGCAAGTGATTTAAAATTGGATGGAAGCGATACAGCCAGCAGAATCAAGAGAGCAGAGCAACTATTTTTTAAAAATTAGTTCACCCTAAGCAAGGCAATAAAGCCACTAAGATGCAAAGTGTTATTAACTATCAGAGAATATGAAAAAAACAAAACAAAAAACAAAACAAAACAAAAAAAAAAAACACTATTAAGGAGAGAGAACAATAAAAGAACAGGAATTAAGAAGACAGAAGACAATGATTAATATTTCATTTAAAATTTTGAAGATAAAAATTGACTATGAACTAAGAAGCCGGAAGAGAGTTCCACAAGAAAGAAGAGCGTGATAATAAAATGTTAGCATAGGACTTACAGTTACATCTAGCGGCCATTTCAAGTGTAAAATGATGAGACCTAGCCGCCAATCTAGTACTGCGCTTAAATTCATAGTCTAGATACCATAGAGGAGATTTCGTCATTACAATTACAAATTTCACGGTTTTCCAATTTGAATTTCAAATCCAGAAAATGTTTTTAGTTTGTAAGCATTTTTTGGGAGACAATAATGATTTAGTGATACGAGTTTTACTAATTAACCCATAGTTGTGGGGAGAAGAGGTGGATTCATACCTTTGTACGTAAGCGAATAAAATGAACCCAACTGGAATTGGAACTCAGCTCTCCGATTAACAATTTTGAGCCATTATCCATTACACCACCCGCACAACACCTGGTATTCCCAAGCGGGCATCCCTCTAAGCACTGACCTGGCTCGACGTTGCTTAACTTCGGTGTTCGTACGAGAATCGGTGTTTCAACGTGATATGGACGTAAGTATCCCTTCAAGACAGCTAGGGTTTGAATAATATTTTGTAGGTTTTGATGAGAAAACGTTTTCAACAAACTTATGAAGAAAATTTTCGCCATCAAAGCATTTTGCAGCGATCGAATCGGTTGGTGTAAGGTCAGGAGAAAATGTCGGGTTGGGTGGAACAGGCCAGCCGAGTTTCAAAATATTTTTTCTGTTATTCTTGCTGTATGTGGCTTTGCGTTGTCATGGATGGGGAACGATTTCACTTGTTAAATCCACTGTGTACGCTGCCACTATCTTGTAAAATCTAAGGTATGTTAGTGGACTTTGAATTTATTCTTAACTACCACGTATAATCAGCATTCATTTTGATCCATTTATTTATTTTTTAATTATCATAATGATCAATATTCTAATTATCAATATGTGCAGAACTAGTAATAATTAAATATAGATTTAGGCTTCATTACGAACTTTGAACGAAATATTGAATTAATTAATTTTCAAAATGTATTCTGTAAGAAAAAAAAACATAAAGAAAAGAACTTCGGAAATATTTTTAAAGTCAGTCATTCCCCCTCTTTATTTAATTTTGTAAATTCTTTAAAATAATTATGCACACAGAAAAATTATTTGCATTTTTAAAAAAGAAAGATAATAGTTAAAATATGATAGGAAAGTCTATGTATTAAATGTATTTTATTTACCATAAACTTACGTCCTGGGTAAGACGATAATCTACATCCGGCAACAAGGCCTCTGATCGGGAGGTTTTGAGGAGCGTGGAACCACCACCCAGGTCGACGCTGACCCGGGGTGGTAGCACGTGGGGTCAAAATGAATAAAAATATAAAAATACATTTTTATAATCAAAATACCAGCAATACATTTTCATAACTAAAAAAAAGTACAATACATTTTTTAAAAATTACCAGTATTTCATTTTGTTTTGGAAAAAAAATTACTAAACCTCCCAAGAAAATTAAATTTTGGCATTAAATGACCCATAAAGAGTTGATATGCCGCTAAACAAAGAAACAACAACAACAAAAAAAATATAAAGAAATCGTATTCACGCGCATTATTTACATTATTGGGACTGTTATCCTCATCTTTATTGCCATATTCACAATGTTTCAGCTCTTGTACGCTCCGACCTTCTTCAGGTGATTTGAATTTCGAACCGAACCGTTTATTTCGTCCACCGGGGTGGATTGTTCTAGTTCAACGTGCCATGCCTCTTCCAGATGTCTCAGTTATTTCCCATTAACTCAACTTTTCATGCTTTTGGTTCACCACTGCTGTAGCTGGCATTGAACGCACAACTCTTTAGCTCTATTCACTGAATCTAACCACTGAGCCATGTGTCCCTGAGGAAATTCCAATTACCTGAAGAAGGCCAGAGCGTACAACGTCTGAAACGTTTTCATTATGTGCAAGGAAGATGAGGATAACGGTCCAAGTAATGTAAATAATGCAAGTAATCATAATACCTCATCTCGGAGATCCAATCACCTGAAGAAGGCCAGAGCGTACAACGGCCGAAACGTTGTGAATATGACAATGAAGATGAGAATAACGGTCAGAGTAATGTAAATAATGCAAGAAATCATAATACCTCATCTTAGAGATCCAATCACCTGGAAATGTTAAGCATCGTAGACAGTGTCTTGGTAAAGGGGAAGGACCTCAGCCACAGCCGAGAAGGGAACTTCATGGGCAAAAGGTTCTTCTTTCAATCTGGTGGGATCGCCAAGGAATAATCCACTTTGGATTCTTACCACCTAATGTAACAATTAATGCTCAAATATACTGTCAGCAATTAGAGCGTTTGAACCAAGGTTTGAGAAAAAAAGACCTGCTCTAGTGAATCGAAAAGACCTGCTCTAGTGAATCGAAAACAGGTGATATTTCATCAGGACAATGTGCGACCCCACACAGCAAGAATCACGTCACAAAAGATCGAAGAACTTGGTTGGGAGAAAATTCCTCATCCACGTTATTCTCCCGATCTTGCTCCTTCAGACTACCATTTGTTTCGTAGCTTACAGAATCACTTGGTAGAAACAGCTTTTGTAACACAGAAAGAAGTTAAAACTGACATTTGTGAGTTCTTCGAATCAAATCCAAAAGAATTTTACAGTAACGGAATTAGTAAGCTTGTTAATAGATGGAAGGAAGTCATAGATAATCAGGGAATTGATTGAATCTGTAATTAAATGTAACATTTGGTCATTTGTTTTCTTTATTCAAAATTCGGACAGGACTTATGGGATGATCTGATAATATATATATATATATATATATATATATATATATATATGTGTGTGTGTGTGTGTGTGTGTGTGTGTGTGTGTGTGTGTGTGTGTGTGTGTGTGTGTGTAAAATATATAGAAAATAGGAAAAACTCGTTAGGTAAATAATCCAAAGTTCTTTAGGGTTAATATTTGTATCAATATCTCAGTTACATTCAAAGAGGTCAAGTCAGGGTAAGGTTGGGGCGTCTTAATTGAAAGCGGAAGATGACATCGTCTAGTCTGGTTAAGTGTCTATGGAGATTTATTTATTTTATTTTTTAACTGAGATATTGATACAAATTATTAACCCTTACGCCCCTTTTCTTTAAATAATTGCTCTAGCCGTTATCATAGTAACTTTAATTTTAATAATGAATATGCTTATAAAACGCGTAAATTTCAGGAATTAGTTATTCACAAAAACTTTCGCTTGAAGATGGAACAGAGCTTCGTACTTTAATTCAGTTTAATTAATTAATAATTATATTGAAGTTTTCGGCTCTTGTTTTGAAACATGAGAACTCTTTTGTAGTTTCCCGTTGCCTTCTCCACAATTTGGCATTCATAGTTTTCATTTTCTTTCAAGTCTAGAGAGCTCTATACACTGTTATTTAATCCATAATTGGGAGAGAAGAGCTGAAGCTTACGTACGACCATCGAAGTTAAGCAACGTCGAGCCTGTTCAGCTCCTAGATGGGTGACCGCTTGTAAATACCAGGTGGCATGAAGAAATGAAAACGCCTGCAAAATGTTAATCTTACTACATATAATTGATTTGATGAGGAGACATTTCTATCAGGTTCTTCGGAAAATAATAACCGATCTTAAAATAAACCTTTTAATGATGTTCTAATATAACATTATAATAGTTGCACAAAAATATATTACTTCTTCTTAATGAGTGAAGTGTCCATTTTGTTAAGTTTTTATCAGTCACTTTCAGAATTCAACTTAAAACCTTATGTACCCGTCATTTTGAACATGAAAAAAAGAAGAGATGCGTTTACTTTCAAGTTTGGTCATATTGTTTCTCAAATATTCACAGAGCATGGGATGAAGGATCCATCAGTGATCTGACAGTACGACACTGACTTTTGAAGTTCCGCAGTGGGGATACGAGTCTTGAAGATCAACGTGGTAGAGGACGTCCATATGTAATTGAAGAAATCAACATCTGAAAACACCAGTCGAACAAAATTCATGTCAAAATGTCAGAGAATTGTTTCAGAAAATGAGTGTTAGCATTTCGATATCGGGCTATCTCTAGGAAATTGGTGATAATCGATAATGGGTTCCACATAAATTCAGTGAAAGTCAAAGAATTCGATCTTTTGAAGTGTGTTCGATGCTTCATCTGCGAAAGTCGAATGATCCATTTCTTGATCGAATAGTGAATTGGGATGAGAAATGGATCCTTTTATGACATTCATAAACAATCAGTTCAATGGCTTGATCCTGATGAAAGACACAAATACCTTCCAAAATTGCACCAACAGAAGTTTATGTTGACTGTCTGGGAGTCTGCCATTAGAGTTATCTATTGCAGAGTTCTGGAATCTAAGCAGAATCTGACTGCCGAAGTTTACTGCCAGCAAGTGAATGAAATTCACGTTTAGTTAAGCAAGATACGACCCTTACTGGTTAATCAATGAGATCCAATTCTCCTTCATGACAATGCTAGGCCACATTTTGCCAGAGTGACACTGCAGAAACTCACCGATTTGAAATACGAAACTATCACACACACCATATTCCTCAGCTATCTTGCCCACTTACTGTCACATTTTCAAGTATCTTGACAATGTTTTAAGCCAAAAGACATTCCGTTGCAAAGAAGATGCAGAAACAGCATTCAATGATTTCATGACGTCCAAACCGTTAGAGTTTTTATCGTAAAGGCATCAATAAACTTGTAACTCGATGACAGAAATGTATAGATGTTCAGTATTCCTAATTTGAATGATTTAAACTCTGTTTAAATACATTAATTCAAGAATAAAAGTTGATTGTAAAATCGGGCATTATTTTCCGAAGAACCTAATGAACAAAAGTAAAAAGTTAAAGATGGAAACATTTCTGAACTCTAACCTCTGAACTTTGACCTGATAAAACGTGCAGAATCTCTTTTCCTTCTTTAATCAATTGAAAACAACTGGTCTTAATATGTTAAACAAAAAGTGCTAACATCTACGTACTGTATATTAAAAAAACGTCGTTGATTCTTTTGCGAAACTCTGATTGCATTGTATGGAAAAAATAATTTTGGACAGCATATAATCTGCGTTTCCCAATGTTGAAATTGCATTGGGTGTTCATGTGTATGCTGGCGCACTGAATGTAAACCGCAACACAAGATTGGCTGTAGAAGAGATATGTAGCAACAGCAGAAAATGACGGACGTTTTAAGAACGCATGCGTTCAAGAAACACACCCTTTTCTTTTCCTTCACCTATGCGTTGGGTCACTCCTAACGGGAAATGCTTCTCATCAGTCAGTAAGCAATACTTTTCTTTGTTTAGGAAAATAGACATTTGAATTCGGACTCTGTTCTTAACGAAAGGCTTGCCCTGTGTATGGCAGACACATCTTAGTTGTTATCATATAAACTTAAATTATTTTCCTTGACAGAAATTCGTTTTAGGGTGTGTTGCTCTATTTTTCGTGCTTTGAGCCTGCTAATAGATTATATATATATATATATATATATATATATATATATATATATATATATATATACGTACAAAGACAAAAGGAAAACTTATCTTAGCCGAAACGATCTATCCCCTGGGGAACTTTATCAAGAGAAAATTCAAGGATTTTATTTTGTAACAAGTACTTATAGACAAGAGCAAAAATGTTAGCTTTTCAAGATTATTCAATTTAAGAAGCACTCATAAATATTAATCAGGTTTACGGTAAAGTGAGATGTTGAGTCTTTCCGCGTGCGTGTATTGAAATAAGGACAAACACATACGTAGGGAAAAATACTGGTATATCTGAAGAGGTATTTACAACAGAGAGATTAGTAGTCAAACGAACGCAGGTTAGTCAGTAACAATCAGAAAGAGTATAAAGTCCAACTGTATCTTCCGGTAGAGAGACGGAAGTGTAATGGTCACCTGATCTTCCCAGAACTCTCTAGAACTGTCCTATTAGTAGTAGAGAGATCAGTCCCAACATAAAGTCTAGGTAATATATGGAGGACGCTAAGTCACATGATTTAATGTCTAATAAACGAAAGTGAGTAAGATATGTCCTTGAAAGGTTTATGCAAATTAATATCTAAATTATTTTAGTTTGGCTTTAGTTTATATGTTATATATTTTAAATAACATGCGTTTATGAATTTAATCGTTTTCTTTTAATTTTTTTACATTTTCATAGTCATGTATATTCGCTTGGGAAAAGAGTAATTCTTTCAAGAATGGAGATAAGTGAAATAATATTCATATTTTGATAAGATTCGATAACGGTACTCTTGAAAATATTCCGTCTAAGTAAGTTACTTTCTCTTTTAATAAGTGTAGCATTATTTAGATTAATGTTGTGGCTGAATTTATTTCTATGTATAACTAATGCATTTGATAAATTGTTGTATACAAGATCCCTTTTGTGTTCACAGATATATTGTTTTAAATTTCTGCAAGTTTCTCCAATGTATTGTGACGAGTAGTTCTGGCAGTTTTTTTATTTAAATATATACCTTCTTCCTATTGTCATGGGTATTTTTGGTTCTGATCATGTCCATAATAGTTTTGGATGTGGTTGTGATTATTTTGATGTTAAGGTTGGATGAATTGTTTTGGATAGTGGATGTATAGATTTTGTAGTCATTATTATGTGTCTGTTTTATCTAGTTTATTGTCATTGTTATTGTTATTAATAATGTTATACATTTTGCGCCTTTTTAGCATTGGAGCTGAAACAATAAGGATATTGGAGGGTTTTGAAAGTGTTTTCTATGTATATTTCTTCTTTAGGTAAGTATTGAGGGCTGCAGATTCTCAATGCTCCTAAATAGAATCCTATAATTGTTCTAGATTTTATCTTGTTACATTGGCTTGTCTATTTTTGGAATATCTGAAAAGTGGTCCTTTGAAAAATATTTTACCAAAAACTTAAACTCAAGGGCTGTTCCGGTGGGTAAGTTGGGGTATACACTCTAATTATACCAGTCAGCAGTGACTGAACGGACTTCCAATTATGCACATGGAAAATGACATCGTAAACATAATTGAATTTAATCCAATTGCGAATGAATACTCCTCCAAGAAATCTCGCAAATGTTTCTGTTGACTAATAATTGATAATTCATATTGTAACTTTCTATCGGTATCAATTATATTTATATATTGAAATGTTAATACTTTTCAAGACATGGTATAGTTTCTTGATTAGCTTTCGTTTTATAGTATTTTTTTAGTTTTTAAACATTGATCTTGTTAAAAGTGTCAATAAGTTTACGGTCTGTTCGAATTTCTGGGATAAGAAATTATCATTATTTGCATTCGGACTAACATCCTCATCTTTGTTGTTATCACGGCGCTTCGGTGCCTGTTCATCCGAATAACCTTCAGGAAATTTGACCTGAACTCTTTTTTGCAATTTACGAGATGGTTCGTTCCATTTCCACCCCTATCTTGTTTTGTTCTAAAAAATTACACGCGTACAGTGCATGATCTTTTAACCTCTTCAAAAAAAAATTATATGCGTAAAAAATTATATGCCCCCCCCCATTTTGTGTCAAAAATGGTCATAGAAAATCGCACTATACGCGAGTATAGACCATATTTAGTATTGTTCAGTTATGGCCCGCCTTGCCGTTCATAAGTTTAGATCTGTACTATCCGGATTGAACTCACAATTCTTTTTCTTCTTTATGCGCCGTGTCCCTTCAGGACATAGGCAGTCTTGGCTCTCCACTATTTCCTGTCCATGGTAGCTCTTAATAAATTTTGTCTTCTGCGCTGTTTTCCTTTGTCCCTTTTTGCCCCCCAATCTGCCCTGTGAGTATCAGATTTTCCAAGCCTCCTTCCCCATTACGTGCCCCAGACATTTCAACTGTTTCTTCCTGATGTTAAGTATAAGTTTCATTTTTGTTTCCACTTTCGTTGCATGGTATCCTCAACATCTTCTGTATAGCCACATTTCTACAAAGTATCATTTCTTGAGAAAGCTGCCTAAATTTAACTTCCTCCTTACAAATGGAATACGGAGGAAATGTGGGTGGATTCGACTCGGTGGACGTGGTAGGACAATGGACGTAATCGTGGGCCCAGTGCATTGCTTTGCCCAGAGCTCACGATACTGTTTTAGTCGGCGCTGCGTGGCATTAAGCTGACTACTTGCTCAAATGTATTATCTCGTCTGTAGTGCTAAATTTATGAATTACTCAGACAAATTATTTCATCTAGTTGGAAACAGGTTAAAAGTTGACACGTCTGGTAAATGTTGACACGGCTAGCAATACTTGTCTCTTTGAATGTATTTTTTTTAATATAAAAATAATAGAAAAAAATAATGAAATGACATTGAAATCCTATCGGATTTTATAGTCAATGACATGATTCAATATTTAGCTTTGTTCTGTGCAAAAGAAATCATAAATAGAAAATATATTTAAGTATTGATTTTACTGACAGGCGGGTTCATTAAGACCAAATTAAATGGAGGTTGTTCTCCTGTCCTACTTTTAAATAATTGTTGTTCTTTCCTGTAAAAGCAATTCTTGTCTTTTCACTTCCGTTCTCTTCCATTTTGTCTTATCTCGCCTTCTTTTTAAGCGTCTCTTTTTATTTGTTGCTTTTCCTTCTTTTATTTTCAATTCCATCCTTTCATCGTCTCTTCTTCCCTTTCACACCATCCTTATCGTTGTCTCTTCTTCCTTTTCGCCGCCACTGCAACCTACTCCTCCTCATTGTCTCTTCTTCTTCTTCACTTTCTCCCTTTCGTTGTCGCTTCTTCTATTTCGCCTCCTCCTCTATATTGTTTCTTCTTCCCTTTCACCTCCTGCCTTGCTTTTTTATTGTCTCTTCTTCCTCTTCACTTTCTCTTTTTCGTTGTCACTTCTATTTCACCTCCTCCTTTATATTGTCTCTTCTACCCTTTCACCTCCTCCCTTACTTTCTCATTGTCTCTTCTCCCTCTTCATTTTCTCCCTTTCGTTGTCGCTTCTTCTATTTCACCCCCTCCTTTATATCGTCTCTTACCTTTCACCTCCAGCCTTACTTTCTTATCGTCTCTTCTTCCTCTTTACTTTCTCCTTTTCGTTGTCGCTTCTTCTATTTCAGATACTTTACACTCTCCGTGGCTGACAAATAGTCGGACACATTTCCATGTTGGAAATAATACAATTGACCAATACAGACCGCAATGTACTGTGCTATTTATTATTACAAGAAAACATTTTGCCTGAGGAAAAGATAACTTGTGACTTTCAGTGAGGGATCAAAATGGTTGGACTCTGGGGTATTGACTCTGGGGTATTGACTCTGGGGTATTGACTCTGGGGTATTGATTTGAAGACAACTGATGCGACCCACTGCAATATAACAATCTTAGTTCGTCGAACAACAGTTCGATCCACATAGAATATCAGGACGATGCAACAATATGTGGGTGAGTGATTTTTTTTATCATTTCTCCCCAGGGAAGGCAATAAAGCCACTAAGATGCAAGGGGTTACTGAGTGTGAGGGAAAATGAGAGAAAGAAAGCATTATTAAGAAGAGAAAGCAATAAACGAACAGGAATTAAGAATTGCGTTTAAATTTATGAAAATCAAAGTTGATTGGAAAGCAAGAAGTCCAAATAGAGTTCCACAGGCGAGAAGTGCGATAGAAGAAACTTATCATAGAACTTACGGTCACATCTAGCCATTTCAATTGTAAAATGTGCATATCTATACACACTCTTGTGCAAAAAGAAAAATAAAGAAAATGGGTTCTCAATGATAAACAAATCCAGCAGTTGTCCGGTTGTATAGATAGGCAAGCATCAAGAGACGAATATATTGGCTTGATATGCAGCGATCAATGGCGGCTATTAAGCCACACAGTCAAATACAACAGCATGGATAACCCAATTCTAGTTAATCGAATACAGTGGTTTTTAGTAGGAGTTGCAACTACAAGTACTGAATTCTGCTTACGAGTTCTGATCCCAAAATATCGGGACTGATGTAATGAAAACCACAACACATAACAATTTAACATTTAATTCCCTTCGAAGTTGTCCCCTTTTGAAACCGCACTTTTCATCCAACGTCGTTTCTACTGATGGAAGCATTCCTGGAACTTCTTTTCAAGTGGGATTTGATTTTTGGAGGAGAAAAAGTTCAAACGGACGAGAGCTGGTGAATATGGTGGATATCGGTGACGGGGAATGTGGTTCTTAGCCCCCAAAACTGCTGCACAAGCCATAGTCACTAATGAAACCTCTGTGGTGTGGTGAGACGACAAAACTCTACATACTTTCCTTCCAAGCGCTGCTATAAGCAACGGAAGTGAGCGACAACGTTATCTTAGTGTGCATGCGCGACAGAGTTCAATCTCTATCTGATACAAGCAGATTCACTCAACGTACTTTAGCTCCGTTGCCATAGCAACAGTCCCGACACATTTTCGTATAATGTAAGTATGAAAGCAACTGAAATCCAGTAAATCCGATTTTTCATAACGTATCGTGGGTCAAAAAGGGCCGTGTTCCTTCGACAGAGAGAAATGGAAGAAACTCGGTAATGGCGTTCGAATTTACTCGAAGTTGAAGAAGACGGTTTCATCTGTTTGTTTTTATGTTACTATTATGGCCTTGTTTAGATCAGAAATAAAAACACAAGAGAGGAATTGAGTTAAATATATTAATAGAAACAGTAATGCAAACGTATACAAACGAGAGTGTTACAGCAAGAATGTTCAGTCCGACTGTCAGAGCTGACTGCAGGAAATTTCCTGATATTTATTTCTGCTTAAAATACAGAAAATGTGGCACAAGGCCTAAAAAGGGGGACGGGGAAAAGGACAGTCTTCATCTGTCCTAACTTTAAACTTAGCTAGTCACAAACACTGACCCAAACATACAAACAATATTCCTAACATTAAAACAACGCATTCTTACTTACCTTTCTTACTACATCCACCGTAATACCTCATTGTCTCTATGAAAATCCTAAATAGTCCCCATATGTACAATTCATTGTCTGTGGGGAGAGGAGGATAAAACAACAATTTAAAAAAATCCCCAATGAGTATGTACAATATGGGACAAAATTATTTACAAGAAACTAAACAAAATAATGTTAATATAAAAAGCATTCATTCATCCCAAGCACTCACACAGACATGCACTCATTCAGATACAGCAAATAACAAAAAATACGAAAACACACATACAAAGGCACGCTACATCCACCAGAGAACTGACATCACTGACCACCTATTGAGGGAGGGGGTGGGGAATTAAACTAAAAGAAAAATAGGGACAGGAATAAAAGGGGTCTATGAGCATACACACCCGAGCTAAAAGCTAGCTGGAAACTTCCCTCTCCAAAAGGCAGTACCTGCTCCTATTTATAGCTGGGAGAGTCCATGCGTTCGTGGGTGAATTACCATAACAGCTACCCACTCATCCTATGTATAATACAACTTCCTAATTCCCTATCTCACAATATCATAAAGTGAGACATGGCTATTTTTAAAAGGTGGTGATTGTATTCACACTTTGTAAAGCCTATGATAAAAAGTCATAATTCATGAGCAATCATTCAGAAATAAATTTCTTCAAACATTACCGTAGGAAACAGGGTGTGCTTCTGACCATATCCTTTTTAGTCCAATAGAAAGTAAGCTCCTAGGACCCCAGGTACAAGGCTTAAATAAATTATGTTTTCCTACATTATTTACATTATTCGGACTATTGTCCTCATCTTTGTTGCTATATTTATAACAACGTTTCGGCCATTGTACGCTCTGGCCTTCTTCAGGTGGTTGGAATGTCGAACTGAACCCTTTATTTCGCTCACTGGGGTAGACTGTTCTAGTTCCACGTGCCATGTTTAATGGATGTCAGTTATCAGTTTTCTCCTGTCAATTTTCACTCTGAAAGTTCTCCTCTGCCTTAACCGGATATTGAACTCGCACTCTTTGGATTCTATCACAGGATCTAACCAACACCATTATCCACTGTGCCATGTGTCCTTGAGGACACATGGCACAGTTATGTTTTCCTGTCTTAAAAAAAAACAGATAATATTTTCTTCCGTCGTTTTTTTTTCTATCCAAGGTGCGTTTCTTTACTCTTTAAATATTAAAATTTCTAAATTCATATTTGCATTAGGTAATAATAGGAATAGATAGGTTCGACTATCACCCGGTTCAAACTCCTTCCCTATCTTTTGAACAGGAGTAGAGGTTTATCCCTTGTGCCCTGTTTATGATTCTATTTCCGGTTCTTTCTAAAGTCTACTTCAACTCTACACTTCAAACATCTAAACTCTAAAATTTTATTTACTATTTATTTATTTTGTCCTCAATATGAGCAGATAGTGTAATGACAAAAGTACGAAGGTGTAGGCTTTAAGAAAGCTTTATTCAACTGAGAATACTAGGTTCGCGTATAGTGTCCTTTTATAGTCTCAGTAAACAGAAATATCGCTCTCAAAGAGGAAAGTAACGAAACAAGGGGAGACCACTCTTGATTATATATAACAGATAGGTTCACCGATTGTTCGGTTCACACTCCTCACTGATCTTTTGAACGAAAGCAGAGGTTTATCCCTTGCTTCCTGTTTACAATTGGGTTTTCGGTTCTTTCTAAAGTCTATTTCAACTCTACACTTGTAAACTTTAAAATTTTATTTACTATTTATTTATTTTTTGTCATCAATATGAGTAGATAGTGTAATGACAAAAGTACGAAGGTGTAGGCTTTAAGAAAGCTTTATTCAACTGAGAATACAAGGTTCGCGTATAGTGTCCTTTTACAGTCCCAGTAAACAGAAAGAGCCCTCTCAAAGAGGAGAGTAACGAAACTGTTGTAGAGTAGTTTTCACAGTGGAGGCTTGTATTTCGCTAAGTCGGTCCTAAAAGGGTCCGACGTACAAAACGTTAGGATCTTGAAATAAGAGTTAATGACGCAGCAATCTAGTTGTGATGGTTGATATTTCAATGTCCGACATCGACTGACTCACTCAACTCCACTGAGCTCAACTGGCGACCGCTACTACTACTACTACTTATTATGTGTGGGAGGGTCTATTAAGAATAGAATTGGTGCGTTCAGGTATAACAGAAACAAGGGGAGAGCACTCTTGATTATATATAACAGATAGATTCACACTCCTCCTTGGTCTTTTGAACAAAAGTAGAGGTCTGTCCCTTGCTTCCTGTTTACGATTGGATTTCCAGTTCTGTCTAAAGTTTTCTATTTCTCTATCACTCCTAGTAGACCCTTGCGTCTTAGTGGCGTTATTGCCTTCTTTGAGGTGAACTGAATTTTTTTTTTAAATTGTAAAGATCCTGAATTTTTTTCCAGTCTTTATGAATGGTTGTTCACTCAGTGTGGCTCCTTGCTTTCAATTTCTACTGGGACACACGTGTAACCCAGACCTTAAGTCGAACCCTTATATATGAGGCATTGTTAAAGATGCTGGGAAAATGTTCAGTGTTTGGGCCGCTCTGGAACGTATATGACTCCTCCTGGCATGCTTTGTCTTTATAAAAGTCAGATCAAACCAAAAATAGAGCATTGTTACCATACACGGGCTGTAGCTGCCCATGCTTCACTTTCTACACTTGACAGAATTCAAAAGTGTTTAGGCAGCCTTCCGCTCTACAATCTCTTTCCCCACAGATGAAACGTCGCAGGCCTCTCACTATCGCTATTCTCATGGCAAATGTTATGATGAGTCACATTTATTAGTTCCACCTGTTCAAAATTTTACAGCTAAGACCCGCCGTGCCAGTACACGATTGAATCATCTCTGTTCCTTTTTATATTCCATTGACATCTTTTCCCGAGAGCTGCTACTTCGTGGAACATCTCCCGAGAGGATATTTCCCTGATCGCTACAATCTTAATCTTTTCAAGTAAGGATCATCTGTTATCTATTCTAATAATCTGTTCTTCTTTCCTCCTCTTACATCGATTCAACAACCTCACTCAGTAAACTCTACATGGCTATTGGGTTTTGTGTTGAGCGAATATTTAGTAAAAAGCAAAGGTAAAATTTATTCTTTTTAATACCATTGTCTAAAATTAAGTTTCCGTTTATATTTTTTTCCTCTCCAAGCCAAGAATATGATCAGAACCCTTGTTGCATTGTAAGCAATGATAGAATCTTCGATTGGCTGCCAGTTGCCTATTAACAGTTGCAAGTATTGATAATAGACTTGCACACCTTTTTATTGAATATTTTGTTATTTTTTCTCAGGATTGAGATTTCCTGAATCAAATATTTGAGAAAGTAAATCCGCTGAGTCTGGATCAATTTTATTGGCTTCTCCCAGCAGCCATTTCAGTGCTTATCAAACTTATCAATCTCAGTAAAATTGTTTATAAGGCATCTTGACTGCAAATACTGATAAGAAAGAATGTATTAAGCTATAATCAAATTTCATTATTTTTTTGGGGGGTGGGGATTCAAGATTATTTTGCTTTGGTTTGATTTTGTTTGTTTTACGGTATATCAAACTCAATGGGTTATTTAATGCCGACAAGATTTTTATTGCTGGTAATTTTTTTTTTTTTTTCAAAAAATGTATTGTTGGTAATATTTTCCCAAAAATGCATTGCTGGCAATATTTTTCTTTTTCAAAAATGTAGTGCTGGTAATAAATTTCCCCCCCCCCCAAAGTATTGCTGGTATTAAAATCTATTTTGATACTTTCATAGTGTTTTGACCCCGTTGGAGGGGTTAACTGTTTGCCCATAACTGGGAATGTATGTATTCTCATTGAAGTGGAAGTGTCAAATTATTTTCAGTTTTATATGAATTAGCATTTGTTTTTTTGTTTTTTTTATATAAAACTTACAGACAATCACAGAGATATGGACCTTTTTGCTTTGTGACGAGAATTTCCTCATTTTGACGTAATAAGAAGAAGGTCGAAGTGCACAACTGCCGAAACGTTGCGATAACAACAACAAAGACGAGGACATTAATTTAACTGAAAATAATGTAAGTAGTGGTAATTGCTCGTCACAGAAATTCAGATAAAAATTCTATTTTCCTATATCGTCATTCATCGCCATATTTCTTTGAAAGTAAACATAATGTTAACAATTTGGCCAGTGTTTGCTAGTGAACATTAGTACTATAAAAGACATTGGTTGATTCTTCTAATAATTGTCTTTCTCCAGACATTGCAGTAAAATAGCAGATTTCACCAAAACTAAGTCTATCAAATCAATAACACATGATGTATAATGTGGTTAGTGGAGTTTTCGCATTCACCCCAAATCGACAATTTATACTGTGTATACTATATTAATATATATATATATATATATATATATATATATATATATATTGAGAAATGTTTCATTGAATAATTTAGACAAGTTTTGTCTACTTATTTTCAATTGTATCCTTTCATATTCACGGACAGGCTTTTTGGTGTCATTATTAAAGGAAGCGAGAAAATTACTGCGTTGGTGCATATTATTTCGACATGGCACAATGTGGTTACTGGAGTATGGACTTTTTTGCATTGTGAAGCGAATTTCCTCATTCTGACAGAAACAGCTAAGTGTATTGCTGGTGATCTCTCTTCTGTTTTTAAACTCGAATTACTTGCCTGCTATTTCAGCTAAATTTGCTCTAACTGTACGAATAAAGTTTATTGATGATGTAAGTGGGAAGTCACTGACCCCATGATGACTGCAGTATATTTTTTATTGTTTGTATTTATCTAGCTTCAAACAATCATGGCTAGATTTGCTAATTGTGGAGATGCGTGCGCTGGGCTGCACAATAATGTTTAGTGTTCCTGATCTAGCATTTATTTTTATAAGTATGTATTTCAAACATGTTTTATGTATAGACAGTTATATTTGATATTGAAGAATGGAAGTTTTTGTGGGCTTGTTTGCAGCTAGGTCAATGTTGGCATATATGCGGTGTACATAGATCCAGTGTGACTCAGATTTGTCATTGCTAATGTAACACAGCTGTTGACTTGCATAATTTTTTTTTTCTTTTAGTTCACAGGATTTTTACAGGATTAGACTGTCAAGTATAAAGGGCTGCTTTGTCATTTAGCAGATCTTACTTACTGCTGAGTTTATTACAATGGCTTCTGATGAATATGGCTGTGTGTCCTCGGATGAGGTAGATCTATATGGACAGCGGATTTTGTGTAAAATGCAAAGATACAGTATCAAGACCAGAAACGTTACATGAAGTTAGACGAGGCATTCAGACATTACACCCTTGTACAAATTAATTGAAACAATTGCTTTAGTTTCCTTTCTTTCACCATACGGCCAGTTTTAGACCCACCAGAATGAAAGGGTGTAATTGATTTCTATTTTTTCTTCAGATTAGTTCATTTGCAGTGGTGTGCAGTGATATGAATTTATTTTCGGGGTGTATGATGAAATTTGTTTGGCCTTGAAAAATATTGCGTCATCCGTGATTGCATCAGATTTTTATCTCAGTCAGACACTATTGTCTCGACTGTTGATTAGTTGTCCTACGGCCATTGTCTGCGATGAACGTTACTCCATGGAAGTGTACGAAAATTGTAATGCTTCACGAACACACTGGCAAGCCTTACCAGTGGGAAACTCAAAGTACTATAGACTGACCCGGAAACTCTCCTGAGTTAAATGCAATCGAGAATCTGTGGTCAATCTGAAAGGAACGACTCTGTGGAAAGAACACACGAAGTACTAACATGTGCACTGGGTCATGTTTCACTGGAAAAAATAAGAAAAAAGTAAATGATAACGGAATTATTCGTTTTCTTTCAATTAATTTACACACGGGTGTATTGAATTATACTGTGAATGACAGGAGGTTGGAAAATTGTCTTTTGGACGCTAAGGTTAGCGACACACATATTAAAATTCAGCGTGTTTGCCAGAAACGTTCTTATAATTAATTGGAATGAAAAGGTACAGCCATCAACCAGGACAGCTGTAAAGTATAATTATATTCACCTCGAATAATATTCACTCTGAAGAGCCACTCGAGGTAGATGGTTACAGAGTAAAAGGTACAGATTATGGGGATATGAAGAAGATATAGGTTAATCCTAGGTTGTAGTGATCGGCGAAGCCTACTTTTTGGGCCTCGGTTCTACAAAGTAACGGTTCGTGTTGCTGATAAATTTAACTCAAAAGAAAACTGCTTCATTTGTGACCAGCTCTCTTTCCAAAGCAAACAACTTCCAGATAGATGTGATTTTATGCAAGCTGAAACTCTTACTATTCGTGAGAAGATAAATGAAAATTTGTAATCAGCATAATGGCCTGCAAATCGAAGTAGCAAAAATGTGGAAACTTAAACTACGATTATCCCTGCCGTGATAGGAATATTGCGATAAGGGTATTGTGATAGGGGCAATGTCATAGGGGAATTGTGATAGAATCAATGACATAGGGGCATTGTGATATGGGCAATGACATAGGAGCATTATTATAGGGAAAATGATATAGGGCATTGTGATAGGGTCAATGACAATGACGCATTGTGATGAGGGCAATGACATAGGGCATTGTGATAGGGTCAATGACATAGCGGCATAGTGATAGGGGCAATGACATAGAGGAATAGTGATAGGGGCAATGAGATAGGGGCATTTTCATAGGGTCAATGACATAGGGTTATTGCGATAGGGTGAATGACATAGAGGCATAGTGATAGGGGCAATGACATAGGGGCATTGTGACAGGGACAATGACATAGGGGCATTGTGATATGGACAATGGCATAGAGGCATAGTGATAGGGGCAATGACATAGGGGCATTGTGAGAGGGTCAATGACATAGGGTCATCGTGATAGGAGCAACGTGATAGGAGCATCGTGACAGGGTCAATGAGATAGGGGTGTTGTGACAGGGCCATTGTGATAAGGGAAATGACATAAGGGCATCAGCATCTCAGAGCTACAAGAGATTAATTTGTGCGGATCTGCACATATCATCCGCGAAACCTTCTCCATCTAAAAGAAAAATTACTCTCTTGCGAGATGATGCCACACACAATAATAGGCTTACGACCATATGTTAAAATACACGTTCCTGTGCTATCTCGGAAGTTAAGCAACGTCGAGCATGATCAGTACGTAGATGGGTGACCGCTTAGGAATACCAGGTGCTGCAAGTTTGGACATGCGGGTGGTGTGATGCATAATGACTCAGAATTTCCGTTGCTTTGGTTATATTCACGTATACGCAAATACCCTTTGGAAAGGTATGAATCCATCTCTTCTCCACTTGCTATGGGTTAATTAGTAAGATTTGTACCACTAAATCATCATTATCTAAAATAATTACAATCTAAGAATATTTTCTGGCTTTAAATGTCGTTCAACGGGTTCATATGCCATGGAAACGAATCAATCAGTTGACAACAACAATGATAATAATATTTTGAAACCCTGTCTGTGATAAAGAGAATATTGAATGGAAATTAGAATTTGGTAAGATAAAAGGCTAACTATGCAAATGTGATTGTAGGAAAAAGGAAAATTGTGAGACTGAAAGGACAGGACAAGATTAGAGATTATAAGAAGATATAAAGAGAAAGGATGTTTGCAAATAATAATAATAATAATAATAACAATAATAATAAATATAACCTAGCCATTTTGAGGTGTAGTGGTAGGAGAAGAACAAATTAAAGTTACTCTCTCAGAATAAATATCTTCCGGGCATTGATTGGTTTGAAAGAAAAAGTGCATATTTGATGACCTTGACAAGAATTGAATTTGTATTATGATGATGATGATGATGATGATTATAATTATTATGATGACGACGATGATTATGATTATTATCGTGATTATTATTATTATTATTATTATAATGATGAAGATGAATAATACTAATAATAATGTCTTTTGAAGATTCACAGAATTGTAATGGCTGACATCCCCATCTTCTTCCGTTAATAGGTTAAAACATTTTGAGTAGTTTGTCTCCTCTTGTAAACATGAAGCAATAAGTTAATAAAGAGACAGGTACAAGCTCAATATTTATGAGTTCTTGTACTAATAGAAATTGGTTCAGCAAAAGAAAAGCTATTTATAGTTTCATAAAAAAAAATTGATTTCGCTTTTCAAAGTTGACTGGGTGACAGGATTATAATTTACTGAGAAGTTAAGCCTTTGCAAAAATATTCTTGACAGAAGTTATTTTAAAAACATGTCTGTGAGAAACAGAATATAGAATTGTATTGGATTAGAGATTTATCAGATTTTCTTCCTTTTGCAGGAGTAAAGTTTGGAAAGTGATGTACTTGTAAAATATTTGATGGACTTGTTTGTTATCCAACAAATAATCAATTTTGACCTCATTAGTAAACTCTTCTTCATTATCAGATGTTAAATCTAAGCTTGATGATAGTAAAGCCCTTCATCAATAATAAGCCACTTCGCTATTTTCAAGTGGGAGGGCAAATATATTTGAAATTAATCTCTCATAGCTTCCGGGCATCGATTGGTTGCAGAAAGGATTTTCATTCATCACAGTCAGACAGAATGTTTTGTCTATCGCATTTGAAATTAGACTAAATTTTCCATCTTCAAAAATTATGTTTATTCATTGCCGTCAAATTAACATTGGCTAAATCGAGTGTATGTTCGGGACATTCTTTAAATTTTCGATCTTCCTCTTGAAAAGATGTGAGGTTTTTTGCCTTTCCTCCTCATAGGTCAGGCATTTATGTACCTTCCTGTTGCTATCCAGATGTCTTACATATGCATCTGAGTTCAATCTATATTGGTGCCCCCACCAATCAAGGTCCGATTCTGCATTTGGTGGATTCGAGGTTACCTTCTTCAAGGTCCCTCATTCTTTTTGGCGTTCTGAGATGACAAAAAATAACTTCAGTATTTCTTAGGATGGAACCGGTACATATTGTGGTCACCATAGATTAACTCATCTTAAATCAAGTTTCTTGATGAACATTAAATTCAGTTTTGACTTTTAGTATTTCCTAGCTTTTCTCATATTCTACACATTGAATTTTAACTCGATTAAATCTTTGCTCTAAGAATATATGTTATATAAGTAAACAATACTTCATATCTTACAAACATAAACAATACAGACAACTAGGAAATCATAAATGGGAAGTATGAAGATGTAACAAAAATTATGAAGAAAATTGATGAAATTATTTTAATTCACTTAGAATGTTATTAAGAACATGTATAATTTTAAACATGTATCATCAATGAATAGCAACTCGGATTGAGGAATCGGAGAGCCGAGTTCGAATCCCAATCGAATCCATTACATTCACTTACGTGCTTATACCCTTGGGAAAGGCATGAATTCTCATCTTCTTCCCCCAGCTATGGGTAAATAGCAGGGCAGACCTGGTTCTATAGCCTTGGATGGCAACTTGTCTATTGCGAGAAAAAAAATCTGCCTGGTATCGAAAGATACATGATCGCCTGTATCACGCATGGTACATAACTGACTGAATATGTATCATTTGAAATACACTACCGCGCCAAAAGTTATAAGTTAGCAGTATATAAAGGTAATGGTGGGCACCTCGACATGGTATAATGGTTAGAAAGCTTGTCTTGCTAGATCAATTACGACTGAGTAGTGAGTTCGATCCTCACTGGGTACCCCATACTTTCGGCCTTGTGCCACATCTAAGCTGTGATTCGAAAATCACTATAAAGGTAATGGTGGGTAGCGCCACCGTCGCTTAACATCTCTAAAATGCTCAGACCTATATTAGTTATGCTCTGATATCTGGTGTGAACAGTGGTTAGGCTGTTCATAGCCAAGTTATGTGAATTACAGCATTTTAAACGATGGATGCTCAACAAATTGTGGAAATATTTAGCGTCCCTCGGTGATATGTGTGTACCGGTAATACGTGCTGGAATGCATTACCGCCCACTGCATATTTCAAAATGACCGACCACTGGTTAATAATGATAGTCATCATTGACGTCTAGTTAAAATTATCGGCAGTAAGAAACAAACGACATTTACTCAAATCCCATCTACATTGAATGAACAGGGAATCAGACGCATATCCAACAGGTCAGTTCATCGTTCTTCAGCTTCTATGGGATATAGGAGCAAAAGAACCACCAAAGTGGCACTGTTAACATCGGATATAGTGATTCACGTCGAGCGGTGACTCTATTAATAGAACCATGTAGGATTGACAACATGTGTCAAGGTGCAGTCATTTATAGTACGAAGCATTTATTCATTTTTTATACTATTGTTAATCTAGTAAAAAGCAAAAAAGCCACTCAAAATCGACGGTTACCGAATCAGCTTGCTGTTATGGCGGAAGCGGGCGAAGTAAGAAGTGCATATTTTGAGGATATGTAAGATAGATAACTCTTGACTCTAGATTTAAAGAGGTTAAAATGGTATTGATCAGAGAAGTATCCCCTCGAGAGACTGTTCTAAATATGTAACAGTTCTTGGAAATTAGTTGTTCGATTGGAACTTCGTCATTACCAATGAAATACGAAGAGAATGGAGATAAATCGGCCCTGTGTACGTGGCACATCGGGTCCTAATTGGACTGGTGGATCTAAGGAATGTAACCTTGTCTGAACAATTCAAGAAAATGCTATATTATTTATTAAGTTTTTCACATTATTATAAGGATATTATTAATATTATTAAAAAAAAACACGACTTCTACAAAACATAAAATAAAACATGTAAAATATAAAATAAATAAAAACAAAATAAATGGAATAAATATTTTATAATTAAAAATAAATAATAAATATAATTAAAATAATAATATAATATATTAAAATATATTAAATATATTAAATCTTATATTAAATATATTATATTATATTAAATTATATTATATTAAATTAAATTTTTTTAATTATATTATATTATTATATATTATTATTGTTATTATATATTAAATTATATTAATTATATTAAATTAAATTTCATTAAATTATATTAGATTAAATTATATTAAATATTATATTAAATATAAAATATATTAAAATATATTAAAATAATATAATAAATATAAATAAAATAATAAATAAATAATAAATAAAATAAAATAAAAAATAAATATAAAAAATATAAAATAAAACATAAAATATAAACAAACACCACTTCTATAAGGAGTGAAACAGAAATCTAAAATGAATCTTATTGAGAAACAATCATGAAAGAAAAGAGTAAAGCAATTTCTACCCTTAAATAAAAATAATTATTGACATTTTTTTATATTCATGAGAATCAAAGAGAAATCAATGATTCCGTAAAGTGATCGATGGTATAAAATGTTTGGAAAGTTCTGGTTTGTAGACCGTTCGTCACAACTTTTATTTTTTTACATTAGCATATCTTACAGGACCATCAAGTAGAACATCAAGGAAGTCGATATGTTTTTCTACCTGGGAAGCGTCGTTAGTGAAGACGGTGTGTAGGGACAGATGAAGACATCAAACGCCGAATCAACAAAGCCTGACACGCTTTCAACACTTTTGCGACAACCCTCTCACTTTACAAGATCCGGATGTTCAATACCAACGTCAAGTCGGTTCTACTTTACGGCTCAGAAACCTGGTGGGTAACCAAGACCAACACCCACAAACTTCAGACATTTACCAACCGATGTCTCAAGGAACATCCACAATATCAGATGGCCGGAAGTCTTCTTCAACGACCAAATCTTGGACAGGACCAGACAAACCCCAATCGAGATTGACATTAAGAAACGGAAATGAGGATGGATCGGCTTCTTCTAGTGTCACCAGGTAGGCCCTTGACTGGAATCCACAATGGAAGCGAAAAGTGGGTCGACCGAACAAATGTGGCGCACAAGTGTTGACACAGAGGTGAAGGCAGCCGGCACGACATGGGCCGAATTGAAGTGGATCGCCTAGAACCGCGTCCGTTGGAGAGGTGTTGTTGCGAACCTATATTCCCGAAGGAATCAAGTGGCATAAATAATAATAATAACAACAATAATAATAATAATCAAAGCCAACCGGCCAGATATTGTTATTAAAGTCCACAAACAAAAACGGTGCCTCCTTATTGATATGGCAGACCCTGCCGACTGCAATGTATCTGAAGATATTCAAAAAGCTTTCAAAATACAAGGATCTTGAAATAGGAATCTCGAAAATGTGGCATATGGGAACATCAACAATCCTTGTTGTAGTTGGAGCCCTAGGACTGGTTGGAAAAGATTGCAGTAGACTAATTGAAGGGATTCCTGGAAGTCCATGCCTCAAGGAGATACAAAAAATTGTTCTGACAAGTACAGCCCACACTTTACGAAGGGCTTTATCTATGTAATTTTTTTTTTTTTTTTTGTCAGTGGAAAGTGTCATGCTGCCATTTCTAACTTTAGGTCCCTTAGGTTTATTCTTAAAAAAAATGTACAATTTTATTTCATTCAGTTATATATAAACCGTTATTTGCTTGTTGACTTGTCTTTTAACAGGCGGCTTTTTGATACCATTTGAGCAATACTATACAGGTTTTGATATGACAACGTTTGCAATAACCTCTTGAATCTAATCTTCATTAGAGAAAGTTTTCCCCATCAAAGGAGTTGGCAGAGATCAAAAAATCGGTTGGTGCAAGATCAGGTGAATCTGTTTTCCTGCGTTATTTGTTGTGTGATCATAGAGAACAACATATAGAGTGCTTTTCAAGCAAACTTTATATAGACACGTTTCAGCTGCTGAACGTATGAATGTGCATTTATGGTTTTATTGCGTTGTAAGAACTCTAAATGAACACGCACAACATTACCTTTCTTCCATGGAGCTCAGCTGTTTTGGGTGAAGTGTGAAGACTTACGAGTATCAATCCATTGCTTGTTGCGTTAAACACTGTTGTATGTAACCTATTTTTCATCACCTGTAATAATATAAAGGGTGTTCGAATGACTTTGACTGATTTTGAATGTGAATTAAGTTTAAGCGTCTAATGATTTTTTTCTTTTTCTTTCAGATTTGGCGGATATTTGTCGTGACTTAAATTACATGATCCAATAGAAAAATAAATAAATTTTCATCAATAACACTGATTTATTTACTGCTGACTTTGATCCGTCTTAATGAAACAACCTTTATTTAAGGAACGTGTTATTTTATGTTGTGCAAGAAAACTAGTCTCATGGATAAACGATTCATCTTTGTTTCGCAAAGGGCATGTGTAACCCAAACTGTCATCTGGATGATTTAACCATTTTTTTCCAAGTGCTGAAATATGGTAGGTTCAATATCTTCACTAATTCCGCAGTAGTTTGTCGGGAACGCCTTGGTCTGACTTCAACTTCAAAAGACGTTCCTTCAGAATTAAAATTTGCAAAAAAATTTCGGACTTGCCAGTCAGTTATGGCTACTCGATCATAAACAATACATATAACGTTATTACTGTTGTAACCTAGGGAAGGTTACTGAATAGAAAAACCACACAAAGGTTGCTAATAAACGATAATACTTAGGACAAGAACAACATATATAAGATTCGCCAGCGGCGCGTAGAAGAATTAGTCAACTGCTAGAAGTGAGTCAATTGAATTCCATAATGAATCTCCAGCTGCAGGATATTTACCAACCGTTCCACGCGGTCAGGTGTGTCACAAGCCCGAATTTAATGTGGGGTATCCGAGCCCGAAGGCTCGGCCAAAAGTTCCCCGTAGACCCCGTATAAAACGGGGTCGAGTACCTGTTTCCCGAGACCAGACTCTGCCCTTCGACATAACCTCGTCTGGGGATCATCTCTGCCTGAAGGCAGAGAGTTTGACCAGCACAACTGGAGACGAATCTCCGACTGCAGACCAACATACAGTATTTACTACTGTATTTATGGGAATGGGGACATACCCATTATCGTCGGTAGGTATGCTACAATAATTACCTTATAATCCCATAATATAATGTAACACAACTTTCAATCCATCCTTTACTGGGCTTAAGACATTTATTCTTTAATCCACTGTGTATGCTGCCCCTGACATGTAAAAACATCTATGGTATGTCAGCATGCTCTCAATTTATTCTTAGCTACGAAGTAAATTAGTAGTTAAGATGATATATAAGTCATTACAATTGGTTTATAATACGGACTCAACCTAATATATATATAAGACAAACAACTGATATAGACTAATAAAATTAATTAAAACAACGTTACCATAAGAAAAATTACAAGCAAAAACTTGCATTCGCTTCATATTAGCAAAATAATTCTAATGCTGTTAAAGTAATTCAGGCTTCACCGAAGCAACATGAGTTCAAATCTCACCTGAAAGTTTTTTTTAAAGCATTTCACCCCAGCAAGGTGCGAGTAAGGGGTTACAGAAACTGAGAGTAAGGGTAAAGAGGGTTGTTTGAGGAAAGGATAAAGAGAAGGACGGGGATTAGGATCAAGGCATCAGAAGATATCGATTGACATTACATTTGAATATTTGATGGTTATAGATATCAGGGAAGCAAGTAAGAGGAAGGGAGTTCCACTGACGGGAAGTGCAAGATAAGAAGCTATTGGATTAGAAGAGGCGGTTACATTTAACTGTTTCGACAGTAATTGGGTGGGAGTGAGATGCCAACCTAGTAGAACGCTTAAATTCATGCAGTTGGGGTAACAATGAAAGTAGCTTGTCAGAGCAGTTGCCATGAAAATATTTGTAGAAAAGACAGAGGGAAGCCACAGAAAGCTAAGAAAGCATAACTAGAAAAAGTGCTAACGAAACAGAAGCACATGTCAGTTCACCTGATCGAAACTGAAATCTTTAATTCGTATTATAACAAGGGTCGGTCAAATATAATCCGGAATTAATAGGATTAGACAAGATTTTAGTGTGGTTGTTGTTAGTATTTTTTTGTGCTGTTCAACTATTGTATTATAAAAGATGTTGTACCCAAAATCAATTCATACGCCGCCATAAGATTAGGTTAATATGAGATCCAATAATAATTTACAACACCGTAAAGGTCAGAAAGATTTGCTGAGAATTAATGTCATGACATGACGATAAGGATTCACTGGAGGAATTTTGATCCACTATCAAGGCTGATGCTTCTTTTTATCAATTTAGAAACATTGCTATTATGATAAGGGATTTTATAGCGCCCACATCATTAGGGACCTGAACGAACATGTTAGGATTCTCCAGAGGAATTTTGATCCTGTATCAAGGCTGATACTTCTTTTTATTAATATTGTAAATAGAAACATTGCTTTTATGATAAGGAGCCTGTTCGAAAATATATGGATTTAGCAGAGAGATTTTGACTCAGTATCAAGGTCGATGCTTCTTTTTATTAATTGCAAATATTGGTATTATAGCAAAGGATAGATATTATAGCGCCAACATGATCAGGGCACTCTTCGAAAATGTCGATGTATATGATTTACTATCTTATATAAATTAAGTGGGTCTATACATCAAAATATAAGAAGTTGACTTTCTCTCTCTCTCTCTCTCTCTCTCTCTCTCTCTATATATATATATATATATATATATATATATATATATATATTATTTGGTAATTAGTATGGATAATTTCAAAGAGGATATAAATACAAAGAGAGATCAATGTAAAATCAGAGCAAATATAATAATGAAAGCAGAGTTCTTAAAAATCTATTGGTAGTAATTTATTTCACGGTATCAGACCCCATATCTCTTCAGACCAAAAAATGTAAATTTTGGCGGATCTGAAGAGATGAGCGTCTGATCCCGTGAAATAAATTATTACCAATGGATTTCTAAGGACTCTGCTTTCATTCCATTCCTCAGGCATTATCAGCAATTGACTGTTTATACTTCTCGATTTTTAAAAAAAATTCTTCGTAGTGTATGTCTGCGTGCGCTGGTGTGTGCGCATGCGCCCATGCGCCCGTCTGCGCGTAAGTGTAGAATGTCGTGGTTACTTGTCCTGTTCGTCGTTTTTTATTTTATTTTATTTTATACTCACTCCTTATTGTTTTTTACTTACAGGAATTATATACTTAGTTCTGGATTGAAAAATATCTGGACTTTATCTGTCCAGTCTTGACAGAGTTCGAAAGCGTTCACGCTGCCTTGTAGGTGATGAATTATTTTCCAGCAGACGAAACATCGCCGGCCTTCGTTACTTTCTCGCTTTTTTCCATGGCAAATGTTCTTGATGAGCTAAATTCTAAAGTCTCTTTGTATTCCATTATTAATGATCGTTCCATTCGGACACCAGCTCCTCAAGAGCCGCTATACTATTAACCGCTTCAAGTCATGGACCAACTGTTATCTATCCTACATAATCTCATAAATTATACTTCTTACCTCCTTCTATTAGGAGGCACAGTGGAGTAATGAATAGCTCGGATTGAGGAATCGGAGAGCCATTTTCGAATTCCAGTCGAAACCATTACATTCACTTACGTCTAATACCCTTGGGAAAGGTATAAATCCTCTTCTTCTCCCCCCAGCTATGGATAAATAGCAGGACAGACTGGGTTCTGTAGCCTTGGATGGCAACCGGTCTACCGCAGAAAGAAATGGAAACCTAAAAAAAAATCTTCCTCGTCAGTCATGTATCGAAAGATGCATGATCGCCTATGCATGTATCACGCATGGCACATAACTGACTTACCTCCTTCTCTTATGTTCATACAACACTTTCATTCAGTAAACCTCTAATTTGAGTTGGGTGAGAGGTACTTATATATCATGTTGAAACACCGGTTCTCATACGATAACCGAAATTAAGCAACGTCAAGCCTGGTCAGTAACAAGATGGGTAACCGTTTGGGAATAATACGTGCTGTAAGCTTGGATGTGCGGGTGGTGTAATGGATAAGGGCTTTGAAGTCGGAGAGTCGAGTTCTAGTTCCAGTTCGTCATATTCAATTACGCACAAATATCCTTGGGAAAGGAATGAATCCACTTCTTATCCCGCAGCTATGGGTTAATTAGCAGCACCTGTATCCGCAAATCATAATGTCCAAAAAATTCTAATAATCTTAAAATATTTTCTGGCTTTAAAAGAAAAGGTGTCATCCGTAGTCGGAATCATTGAGTCAAGGATAACAATCCTTTCCTTAGCTGCATAATATGTACTTCGTCAAGGCTTCATATAGTTTTGAAATCAGTTTTCCTTCTCCTAGATCGATTGCCACTCAAAGCTACAGAACCAACTCTGTCCTGCTATTTACCCATAGCTGGGGGGAGAGATGGATTCATACCTTTCCCAAGAGTATAAGCATGTAAGTGAATGTAATGAACTTGACTGGAATTTGCACTTGGATCTCCGATTCTGGCTTTAAATAACCTGAAAACAGTAAAATGCAAAATAAAAAAAACGTGAATGGCTCTCGTGCCTTGTATTGGAAGAACAAATAAAATAAATGAATAAGTAAAAATGAAGTAAAAAGGAAGGAATTGCTTTAAATGGCCCAACAAAAGGCTGACATGTCATTAAAACCACCAACCTAAGCCGTTATGATTATTATGGCTTGCAATGAAATAACGATTAATGACAGAGAAGATAGGATTTTCTCCAAAGCTTGTATTCAATTCACACGAACGCCATTGGCAAATACATGATTTCGATTCGCCCTAAAATAAACAGCAGAGTAGATTAGACACTTTAAACGACAGCTCTCGACTGGAGACCCCCTCCCCCGTTGTGGAGTAAATAAGACACCGCCAGTAACACAAATGAACTAGGCAAGGCGTCTTATATAAAGAACTCCAGTGTCTGGCTCGCGATTGTCAAGTTCTCTGTCTTCGGGCAGAGTACGATTCAATCGTGGCTCTGTCTCTCGGTTGAGAAGTATAGACAATCAAAAGTGCCTGATCCCGCGTTTCCAGGTTCTAGGTAAATGTTGACTATTGGCCTGAGTGTACACACTAAAGGCGACCTTGTGTTAAGGTAGGGAGCAAGCAGTCTCACCACAAAAGGAGCGAACTATAACGAAAACAGGGCACTACTGATAAATGGATGTCTACGAATACTAACATTATATATATATATATATATATATATATATATATATATATATATATATATATATATATATTGTTTTCGTTTTTCAAGGCTTTAAAGATTTTAAGAATTGTCCATAGTTATAATTGTTCCGGGCGCTTTCGGCTAATTCTCTAGCCATTATCAAGGATGTTGTTTTTAGAATGAGAATTTCTATGTGCGTGTGTGTAAATGAAAACCATGTTTTGTACCTGCGGATAACCAGAGACTGAAAGCGCTTAAACTAATGGAAAAAGAAAATACGATCAATTTCTACATGGTCTTCAGCTATTTATTCATCCATTTATACTTATGCCTGAATACAACATAAATTATATAAAAAATAGAAAACTACATTAAAAAATATATATAAAAACTATAAAGAATATTAAAAAAAAAGACTATTAAAAAAACTATATAAAAAATTAACTACGTTTATCTTGTCATATTCAGTAATACTCTCTCTTTATAAATTCATACATACATCTCTCTCTCTCTCTCTCTCTCTATATATATATATATATATATATATATATATATACAAGTAAGATGAGAACGAATAGAGTACAATTCCAAAGTTCGTAACATTTAATTTAAAAGAGGGCTCCATACAAAGTAGAGTGTTAGTAGACATTCATTTATCCCTCAATATCTAAAGAGGCTATTATTACTATAAAATTAGTAAGAAAGTAGGCCTCAGGGGAACAGTGATAGACTGAACGCTGGTCAACCGACACACACTCCCAAGTCGTGTAACACACTTCTGTTGCATTTACTGTTCAATATACCATTTATCTGCAATCTCTTGTTTTGTTATGTCTTAACCAATTATTTGGTCACAACATAGAGCAATATTCTTTAATTTAGGATATTACATCGAAAACATGTAAAAAAAACTCTATACAATTGCAGTGATGTTTCGATGTTCATAAAACGCATCTCATCAGGCGATTGATAATTACTGGCGAGTGAACGATTTAATCAGATTTAAAAGCAAAATACAAACTCTTTTTACGAAGAAAAGTAAAAAAAAGAAAAGAGCGGGGTAGTTATAAGGTTTGTGGTCTTTACTTAGATCAACCAATCAAATATGGCTTACGTTAAATTTAAACTAAGTGAAGAAGCAAAAATTAAGAAATTATTTTCCATAAATGGGTCATGACCCGTAGATTTGAAATCACGGCAGCAATATATATATATATATATATATATATATATATATATATATATATATATATATATATATATATAAAATAAATAGGAAGGAACTGGTTAGGTAAATAATCCAAAGTTCAATATTTTAGTTATTATTTTAAAAAAATAGTGCTCGATACAAAAGTAGAGCATAAATATAATTATTTATTTAAAAAAATATGATTCCAACTCGCGACATGATATTGAATTTTTCGGCTCTTGTTTTGAAACATGAGACCTCTTATGTCGCGAGTTGGAATCATATTTTAAATAAATAATTATATATATATATATATATATATATATATATATATATATATATAGAGAGAGAGAGAGAGATAGATAGATAGATAGATAGATAGATAGATAGATAACCCTTAAACTGTTTTACAGTAAAATCTTTTTTTAAACTTGCAGTGGCTCAATCATATGTACTGAATCGTTAGCAACAATGGATGTGTCTTTGGAAAGATAACCTGACTGAGTTAATAAAATCAGAATTCTCATTCTCCTACATTGGTTGAAGACTAAAAGAATCAGTCAATTCTACGACTTCACTTATAACTAGAGAAAGAAGTGACGTGTTTTCCAAAGTTGTTAGTGAAATGTGAACGAAACAAAAAAAATATTCAACTAATAAAAGTTAAGAGCCTTTACTTTACACAAAATATCGAGATGCTTCTTTGTCAATGCACTTAATTCACATTGATTGAACATTATAAAATGAAAATTTTATATTCAAATTCAAGCTACAGACGTCTTGATCCAGCTTTGTAGATAATTTTTTTTTTTTTTTGCTTTAAGCAGAGACTGTCCTTGAATTGAAAGTGTTCACCATCATTCAATAAATAAACCATGTGCTTGGTGGGATGACTTTATTGTGTCGGTTTCCTCATGCTAAGGGCTACCAGAAATGGTCAAAACGGTGATCAGCCTAAAAAGTATCTAACCCAAAAAAGGAACAAACTAAAGGGTAAATAGACAAGACGATTTCTGTACTGTGTAACAGAACCGTATTCACTTTTATATTTACATACGCTCTATCACTGATATTACACATGAATATAGTATACAATAATTTATCACCCACACCCACACACACACACACACACACACACACAGTGAAAACTCGGTTCAGGAATTTAATTCGTTTCAGAAGGCCGTTCGTAACTCAAAATGTTCGTAAACCGAAACTATTTTGCCGATAGGAATCAATGTAGAGAAAAAAAGTCATAGTAGAATAAAATTGGAAAAGAAAAGCACGCCACAACAAACGAATGTATACAACATGGCGGTCGACTCAGAAGTTATTCCATTCGGGTTAACTCAGTTCGGCCATGTTGTTCAAGAACCGAAATTTTGTTCGATAAACGAGGCATTTTCATCTCGAATTTTCTGTTCGAAAACCGATTTCTTCGACATGTGAGACGTTCGAGTAGCGAGGTTGTTGTGTACCAAAATAATTGCGTCTAAAATTGTCCTTTAGTGATCCATGGATTCGCGGCTAGAAGCGAAGAAGCTTTCAAGAGGGAAATAATACAAGTTAAGACAAGATGATGAAAGATGGCTGTTGTTATTGCATCGTGTAGAAAAGGAAATCAATTAAAACAAGTCAGAACACGGTTCCTTTTTTTTTTTGCTGTTGTTGTTATGAGAAAGGTAATTACTTTTTCTGTTAATCTGCCAGAGGCATATGATATCAGTGTTACGACATCTCCAGCTCAAAATACTCCTGACATCATCAATATTGACAACAATCTAAATCCGTTTCTTATCATGACACCGAATGGGGGATATTAAATAACAGACCGGTGTATGGTCTTTTTCTATTTCGATAGGAAGGCTCTGGGATATTTTGGGAAAAAATCTTATTAAAGGTAAGATATGTAGAAATACGAAAAGAGGAAATGGATTCCTTGCATCCACCTCCTGCCAAAAAAAAACAAAACAAAAAAAAAAAAAAGAAAAGGAATTAAAAAGAAGCAGAAGAAATGAAAACAGAAAGAATTAACTTATATATATATATATATATATATATATATATATATATATATATATATATATATATATATATATATATATATATATATATATGGTCACTGAAGTCAACACCAAGCAGGTATAGTCTGTTTCATGTACGAATACCATCTAGATGACCTAAAGATTGCGTATGAACATGAAACAGATTGTAGCCTCTTAGTGTTGACCTCAGTGTCTATTTTTATATTTACATACGCTCTGTCTTTGATATTGAGCACTTTTACCAATGAATATAGCATACCTTAAAACTATATTAGTATCATTTGAATCGCTGTATCTTAGAAATGATTAAAGATACCTAACTGGAATTCTATCGGACTCTACTTTGAAAAATAAGAATGTCTTTAGCTCTATGTTGAAATGATGATTCCTCTTGCTGTTGTAACCTCAGGATCCAATTTTCTCTCCACTGTTCCCTCTTTTTAAAACTTATTCACTGTTTTCTTGATGGTTCTTGAATTGACTTTAAAGATGGAAGCCAGACTATGAATGTTAGTACCATTACCGAAGGCCAGAATATTATATATTATATGTTATATTATATTATGTTATTATTATACATTATTTTAT